GGCCGGTCATCCAACGAGAAGGGGTAAATCAGGTCAGCCAGCTAAGGCCCACTTTTACCTTAAAGATCAAGGATTTATGCATTTCCTTTTTATGCGACAGGTATGTGACCTTAGGAATTAGGTTCGGGAGTTGCTTTAGAAATTATTGCTTGCTCCGGGTGTCAGTAATAGAAAAAGATTGGATTGGGAAAGACCATGGAGGTTGCCAGTGCTGTTGGGGAAGCCTCTCATCGAAAAGAAAAAAGAAAATAGGACAATAGCTGACTAAACCTCTGAGCTCTTTTTTCTGTAAAGATCTTTTTCTTAAAGGGACATTTCCGCACTCATTTCAGATCATAGAGGTCGGGCTTCAGTCGATGAACCTTCTCCCTCCCTTCCACCGATGAAACTACTCTTGCAAAGTCATTCGTATAACCTTCCTTCCAATCAGATAGATTATATGAAAGCAAAGCCAAGAGGCGATAGTGGCATCGGTCTTCTCGTTCCATGAGGAAAAGGTCCGGAATGGACTATTTTCACGTCTAAATCGGGAGTTTACGGGCTCTATAGGGTCTCCATCTATAGGCTCACTAAAGATACTCAAAAGAAAGGGCTTTCTTTGAATAGAAATATGCAATCTTCCTTTAGCCATCTCTTCCTGTCTATTCAAGCCTTGCATCAGTCTGAAATAAATTGGTAATTTATATTTTAGGAAAGAAGCCCCGTTAAATCCTAAGTCTAATTCAAAGTAAAGGCTGAACCCGGGCCAATGGCAGTTCAACTGTTCTTTCTAGCAGGTGCGATAACGCACTAGGATTTCAAAGTCTTAAGAACTGGAACTTCTCTCCTTACAGTCAAGTGGCTTTCCGCTCCTCGGCTTGAGCCGAGTGGGGTGGGGTTTGATATTTTGCTGCTCCTATTGACCACAGAGGCATGCGAGAGAAAGCGCTGAACAATGATTCAATGATTGAAGAGGCTTTGACAAGACCTCAGCATTCTCGCTTATGTCATTAAGACTCACTTGTCTTCCGAGGCTTGGGCCTACTACTAGAGATTCCATTAATATGGTAGGCCTTGATGATCTCCGAGATTTACTTCTTATGATAAACCAAAGGGGTCGGGCCAACTTCCCAAACACTTGCTTTACATTCACGTCTCAGTATATGCGACTGTCCCTAAGGAGGGGTTTCCATTGGCTTGCATTGATTTGAAACTGCTACTATACTAAACCGGCTGAAAGAGCGTAGTTTTGACCTAAATTCCTTACATGACAGGCTCCTCTCCTTCGCGGGATAGGGCACATTCTATTCCGCCATAACCACGCTTTAAAACTCGATCCAGCTCTCAAACTATATGATCCTCGTCACCAGTCAGCTAATACTAATAGTTGTCCTCCTACGGACCTTTGCCTTCCCTCCGTTTCTACAATAAGAAGAAAAAGCTGAATTTTTCCTGAATATGAACTACGACAAGGAAAATAAATCTTTAGAAAGACAAACATTGGATTGTTTTTGTGTAACATATCCCTTTTTTTCTTTGTCTATTGATTGAGTTCCCCTTTTTTGTTTGCCATTTCCAATATGTTAGATGTGGGGATGAAGCTCCGAAGCAGGAGCTAGCCTTCAAAGGCAGGCGGAACTTCACTCTTTTTTAGGAGAGCTGCCTACGTACCTTTTCTTTTCAGCAAAAAAAGAATCAAGTCCCACGCAGTTCACAGTTAATCAGTTAAATAGATCGCGTTTAAAAACCAAATAGGCTGTTTAGGAGGTATGCGACTTGGACGATGAAAGAGGGCTAGAGCGTGGGTCAGGGTCAGATACGGAGGGGCAGAGAGAATGCTTCCCAATCACTCTCAGAGAGAGAGAGAGAGAGCTATTGTACAAGGAAGCTACGTACACATTTTCGAACGGAAAGCGAGATCTTGCAACCACACCCGAAGAAGCACGCAACAAAGCTCTTTTTACTTCTCATTGAAGTATGCAGCGAGGAATCGAAGGGATGAGACCCGATTCAATTCTGTGATTAAATAAAATTCCTCCCTTCGTTAGTTTACCCACTGTAACTGACTGTCACGTCCAACGAGAGCGTGAGCATCCCACTATTCTTTCTTCTCGTGGGGGGCATTCTACTAGCAAAGAAGACTCCTATAAGTGGTAGTACCTAGTTGGGGCTTTGTGGTATAATTCTTTGCCGAAAGTGGTCTCCGTCGACCCAACGACTTTCCGATGTGATTGACAAGCAGCGAGGCATGGAACGGAGTTTAATTCATCGCGACAGGAGTTCACCAAGTCTAAGAAAGGGCCGGTCATCCAACGAGAAGGGGTAAATCAGGTCAGCCAGCTAATGCCCACTTTTACCTTAAAGATCAAGGTCTGTGAATGAAATGTGCTCTACTTGGCAGTAGTAGGAACAAGATGTAACTGATTCATCCGTGCCAACGAGAATGGAGGCTTCATCTGATCACTATGAATCCGCTGATCAGGAAGAGAAAAAGGAAGAGGTTTTTTCTTTAGATAAAGCGGAAGCTCGTTCCTGGCCTCTTTGGCAGTAGCTAATTTGAATTCGTAACCCGCTTTGGGCAGGAGTCGTTAGATCTTGCCTAGGCAAAGAAGCGATCGACACTCGCTCGCAAGTTTTAAGAAGTGGTAAGCGCAAGAACAGGTTAATTCAGAAAAGGGAAGAGGAGCTCAAACAAGGTTCAAAGATCCTCTCCCTAAAGTATGGTTTATAGAAATCCTTTCGGGTTAGTGAGAAAGATGATAGTGAAAGAGAGAAGAAAGGAAATCCGTTTATGGCGGCTTACCTTCGTACATTCAAGAACAGTTGTGACTCCTTGGCATCTATTAATGCACCGGTGTCCCAATCTGATATGTTTACATTCCTTCTTGCTGGCCTGCCTTCGGACTATGAAATATTTATCATTACGGCGAAGCTTCAACGACCAAAACCAACTATGGCTGAGCTTCGGTCCAGCTTGTTGTTACATGAGTCTTGGCTTCAGCAGATGCATCATATTACTATGATGATGATCTTGTATACTAACCGAGTCCGCAGTCGCCCGAAAACACGTACGTCCTTCCTGTAATTGTCTTGTCTTTGTTATGGTTTCAGGGCCTACGTCTACCTGTATGGAGCCACCATCATTCGCAAGGCTTGCTTTACATTGGACCCGATGTTGAGCCTCTCATAGCCTAGTACCGGCGAACTAGGCAAGCGACCCTGCAAGGCAGCCAGCCTTTCTGCAAAATCAATGTCCGCCTCACCGCTGCTTTCGGGTGATTAGAGAATAGCTGTAAGGAATACTAAAAAGAAGTATGCAGCGAGGCAAAGCCGATTGACAATATGACGGTTGGCCCCTCGGCGCTTGGGAGGCATCCTATTTAATAAAGATTCTTCCTCTAGTCGAATAGAGTATTAGTCCGCTCCATTCTATTCCCCATTATTTCACTTTCTCGCTATTCGAAATATCATAAGAGAAGAAAGCTAGCAGGTTGGATCCTAGGGTAGGTTCCTGCTGTTGAATGATCGACTAGCTTCCTCTTTAGTTGTTTGATATTGGGTTCGTGTTCAGTGTACCGCTCTTTTTATATATGAAATTCCCACTTTTTTTATCCCTTTTTCGTTTGTGCATCTTTCTCCCTTTCCGTCGTTCAACAATCAACTAAATCTATACTTCTTCACTACTCGTACAGGCTTGACGGAGTGAAGCTGTATTGAGGGAATCGTTTTGTCTCAATCAATCAAGAATGCCTCAACTGGATAAATTCACTTATTTCACACAATTCTTATGGTCATGCCTTTTCCTCTTTACTTTCTATCTTGGTTCTAAGTTGAATATAGAAAGATGCCTTTCCTTACTCTTTTTAATAAATCCTGCTTTTCAGGGGGTCGTTTTCTGGTTGAAGGGTTTGCTCGTTTTCTTTATCTTAATACGGACTGGGTTTCTCCTTTGGCACAACTTGTATGGACTTCTTTGTCCCCAGACCCTTTTTAGTGTTTTGCCGTCGAAACTCGGCCTTCTAAATCACTATCTGAGACAGTCACATCAGGACCCGGAATGGGTGGAATATGTACATCAAGTACTAAGAACCACCCCCACCGTGTCTGCCAGCTATGAAGTCCTGGTGCGAGACTTGCTTAATACGGAGGTGGCCTTTTCCACTTGAGAGCAGATTTGCTCTTTCTATCAACTAATTTTCTATGGTCGAGAGGATCCCCAATTCTGGATTGATCCGCTGGACCTCGAGGCCATAGTCAAGGGCCACCTTGAACCAAAGGAATTTGATCCTTCCGCTCTCGGGGAGGTCTTAAAAAGTCTCTTTACCGAGAGGCATAATTCTCCCTTTTATGAGGATGTTAAGACCGCTCAAGCAGACCATTTCCGGGGCTTTTTAAACAAAAGCAGCAAGCCCGAGTGGAAATGCAAGAAAGGCTTAACTCTCATACTGAATGGGAATATCTCTCGAAAAGGACCACCTTCTTAGCGGAAGAAAATCGTGCTCTACGTGAAAAAATAAGCATTCTCGCCAGGAAAACCCCATAAAATTCGTCTTTGTTGTCTTGCTGTCGTGTCGTAAAGTTTCGTTCTTCGTTCCTCTCCTCTTGGTCGAGTTACTTCTTTCCTATTTCTTGCTTTTTTTTTCGGTATGCCGCTCCGCCAGCAAGGAGCGAAAGAACTAAGTTTTCTGTGGTGATGTCAGAATTTGCACCTATTTGTATCTATTTAGTGATCAGCCCGCTAGTTTCTTTGATCCCACTCGGTCTTCCTTTTCTATTTTCTTCCAATAGTTTCGACCTATCCAAAAAAATTGTCGGCCTACGAATGTGGTTTCGATCCTTCCTGTGATGCCAGAAGTCGTTTTGATATAAGATTTTATCTTGTTTCCATTTTTATTTATTATTCCTGATCCGGAAGTAACCTTTTTCTTTCCTTGGGCAGTACCTCCCAACAAGATTGATCCATTTGGATCTTGGTCCATGATGGCCTTTTTATTGATTTTGACGATTGGATCTCTCTATGAATGGAAAAGGGGTGCTTCGGATCGGGAGTAACCACTAGTGATAGGGCAAAAATCGGGGGGAAGGACAAAGGAAAGAGCGATGCCTACATTAATCGTCATGGTAAAGAAGAAAAACGGCGCACGGACTGTACTCGAGCTTTGGATCAATGTCCCCAGAAGCAAGGAGTATGCCCGCGTGTTTCAACGAGAACACCGAAAAAACCTAATTCAGCTCCACGTAAGATAGCCAAAGTACGGTTGAGCAATCGACATGATATATTTGCTCACATTCCAGGCGAAGGTCATAATTTGCAGGAACATTCTATGGTCTTAATAAGAGGAGGTAGAGTGAAAGATTCGCCAGGTGTGAAATTCCATTGTATTCGAGGAGTCAAGGATTTGCTGGGAATTCCGGATCGAAGAAGAGGCAGATCAAAATATGGTGCGGAAAAACCAAAATAGATATGAATGGAAGATGCCTCTGGAACTCCTTTTTCTCGGTAAGGATAGGCACGAAGTCACTCGACTGAAAGGAGAGGGAACAACCACAACGTTACACCCCAAAACTATACGGAGCCCTTCCGAATGACCTAGAATATAGTCTACGTCACTCTTTCTTGGCTAGTCTAGTAGACTATATTCGCCCGTGGAGGTGAGTGGAGGAAGCTGTGAAGCTTCTAACTCTAATTACCAACTCGGGACTATATTAGTATAAAGCGGCATTATCCCTTTACTAAATCCTCCCTCGCTTACCACCATGAACAAGACCTTTCCCGATCAATTGGTTTTTCATTATTTAATAAGAAAGATGGCAAATCCTACCATTGTATTTCCTTTTTTCATTTGGATCCTATCAACTTGGAGAGTGTCTAGATTAAGACACTTCTCGTATTCGGACTATCAAGATCGACTAAATGAGAGTGTGGCTGACATGGTAAAAGAACAAATCAGCCACACTTTTCTGGACCCCTTTTTTTACTAGCTTTAATTCCACTCCCAGCAGGACACACTACACTTAATGTAATAAAGATTTTTCTAGGAGAACAAAATGAAGCTAATTTATAGCTCTTGTTATATATCTATAATTGCTTCCAATAATTATGAATATATAGTGAATTTTTTGCGCAAGCCGTACATATTGCGTTAACAATAATGGGGGGAAGTGGTTTTGGTTGGTTAAATATAAGTTGTAGTTTGAGTCCTCTCGAGGACGATCCCCCTTTTTTTGGGAAAGGATAGTGGGTAGGGCTTATCTTTCCCCCAGACTACTTTACTCACTGGAAATCATTCCACGTACAGGAACTGGGGAAAAAAAAAGGGCTCGAACTACAGGGATCTGATACCTGGCTTTCTTGGTATGAGAAGTTGGTTATGTAGGCTGACAACCTTTCCTAGGTTGTTTCAATCAGGCCAAATAATCGATTAGTAGTATGCCTGAGATTGCCATAAGAACTTCCCCCTCTTGAAAACTGACTAATCAAACAAAGGGGGTCACTTTTTTTTATGAGGGTAGGGAGTTTGGGTTGGTGTGAGGTGTACCGCACTTTGGGTACAAGATCGGAAATTCCATTCTCTTTTGCACTTTGGGTACAAGATCGGAATTCCATTCTCTTTTTTACCATCTAAAATTGAAGAAAAGAAAGAAGGGCGAGATAAACAAATAAAGAGCTAACTTTCTTTATTATTATGTAAGATTAGAAGGTGCAAAATGAATCGGCGCAGGAGCTGCTACAATTGCTTCAGCGGGAGCTGCTGCCGGTATTGGAAATGTTTTCAGTTCCTTAATTCTGTTGCGAGAAATCATTCATTGGCAAAACAATTATTTGGTTATGCTATTTTGGGATTTGCTTTAACCGAAGCTATTGCCTTGTTTTCCTTAATGATTTGATTTCTTGTTTGTGTGATATATGTCGGTAATTGCTTCGTTGTATGCATGCATGTATGAGAATAATGAATGTGAATCGAATCTAATGCAAATGAGTATATGTATATGAATGATTACATGACATGAACCCATTACTTGATTGTATGACTGTGAGTATTGTTCATTATGAGTGTGATTGTAATTGTGGTTGTGCTGACTGGAAAAAATGTTACGTTCCGACACATCTATTGGATCGGGTGTCACATTCTGACATATGCATTGGATCGGGTGTCACGTTCTGACACATATATTGGATCTGGTGTCACGTTCTGACACATGCATTGGATCGGGTGTCACGTTCTGACGCATACATTGGATCGAGTGTCACGTTCTAACACACTAACAATTTGGGTATGGGTTCCATGAGAGGACCATTGTGATTGTTAGGTTATGCATGTCTACTTGTCATTGATAATGAGAGACTGTATGTTGTTCTAAAGTGATGACTGAGTTGTATTCTGTATATGTATGCTTATTGTGTTGTAATTGTTCGTTGTATATTGTGCTTATGGGAGTAGTCGCGTGATCCTACCAGTACACTATGCTTTGTGTACTGATGCTGCACTTGCTCGTTCTTTGTTGAGTACATGACATCTTCAGGCGGTTACTGATCGACCTCAGCTAGGAGATAACTGATCGAGATCGGATTCAAGGGTGATCCAGTTCTTCCAGGCTGCCATGAGTCCTCTTTTGTTTAGTCCATTCTTTTCGGACTTAGACTATCTATTAGGCTGTTATGTTTTAGTTTTCTGGGTTGCACCCCTTTTCCTTAGACTTGTTAATCGTTAGAGTTTTGGCACATTGACTTTCAGGTTCTAAGAGTTGTTTTCTGCAAATGTTGGTAGTTGTTTTGTTTTACTCTCGGAGTTTATGAGAACTCCATTTTTCTTAGACATTTAAACCTGCTTTCGTATCTTTAAATGTTTAGTTTAACGTTGAGTTGCTTAGTTGGATTGTAGTAATGGTTCTCTCACCGGAGGGTTAGTGTGGATGCTAATCACGACGGTCTGGATCGTGACAAACTATAATCTGATAATTAAGTTTAAGAGCTTCAATAATACTTCATAGTTCTACACTAATATATTTATGTATTGATTGCATGAGGGAAAAACAATTATCAAAATAAAAATCTTGTCAACCCAGAATAGGAGAATATTTGACAAGATTGTCTAACTATTCACACTGTCATATGATTGTGTCAAAAAATTTTGATTACTGTTATTTCTTTTATTTTAAGTTATACGATATTACTTTTTATCAATATATTTTAAAATAATATATTTAATATTTAAAATAACTAATAAGATATTTTTATTTTATCCCTATTTAAAAATGTATAATAACACAAATTTTATTATAAATTTGAAATCACAAGGTATAATTTATTTTATATTTTTTATATTTTTTCAATTTTTGCAAATTATATATAATACAAATTAAAACAGAGGAATATTACATTATTGCAGAGAAGAGATTGAGAAGCCACCCACCTTATGTACTGTTTATCATCTTTTGATTTCTTTTGTCTTATTGATTTATTAATAATTGAATTGAAATAGACAATATATAGGCCCCGAATTATGTCTGCTTTAGTGAAAAAGAAACATAAAGTAGAAGAAAAGAAGAAAAAATAATATTCTCTTTTTATTAGCTCAATTTGTCTGCTTGCGATTTGTCTGGTTTAAAAAAGTTGGCAAGTGAATGAATCTTTTATGAATAAAAAATGTAATCCATATAGTGGTAATTGATAAATAACATGTTTTCTTCGTTTGATTTCTTATGGCCAACTCTGTGTTATAAATGAGATTATTAGTGTACTTTAAATTATCACAAAAGCATTTTTTTAACGAATTTTCAGTATATGCATGATTTACGTTAAACTAATAAATTCTAGATATATATTTTTCATAAATATATCTATTGCTTGAATATGATTGAATGATGTAATTTTATATTTTTAATTGGTAAAATTAAATTATTTATTTTGATATAAATACGGAGACATGAAAATATTTATGCTAAAGTATTATGTTCACTTTTTTCTGTTTCTTAATAATTTAATTTTATAACTTATTGGTATTTTTTGTTTTTGGCCCTTAGCCGATAGTGTTCCTACAAAATTATTAAGATGCCATTTTTTGACCTCATATAGTAATGATTACTATAAGAAAATAAAACCAAAGTACCAGCTAATAAATAAGTGTATTTAAATGTTAGCCATCTCCTTTTTTCATCTTTTACTTTGTTGTGGAAATAAAATTAATATATATATATATATATATAAACCGAGTCTAATTCATATATATCTATATTTCATTTAGTCAACATATAATTTTGAGTAATTTGTGATTTGCTGGTAATGTATGGTCTCTTTTCTGCCTTATACTTTATTCTATCATTTTTAATGATTTGTGCCCTAATCTTCTTAGTTCTTTTACAAAATTATAAAGCTTCATATTTTTCAATTATTTAGGATAAAACAGAAAAACTAATAAGTTATTATATTTGTTAGAATATAAAAATAATAAAAATAATTAATTAATTACTTTCTATCGATAGCATAATTGACTGTTCTAGACTGTCTTTTTTAATATATGTACAGAGTTAGAAAATAAAGACGGAAACAAACATTTCTCATCTACTTATAAACAAAAGAAATTCACTCAACAAAAAAGAAAAAAAGAAAGAAAAGGAGCCTACAAAATCTGGATTTACTTGTAATAACTTATATAAATCAATAACCACTAGTTAAACAACATAAATACCAATTGGTTGGAAGAAACAATTGTTTGACCAAAATAAAAGAGATTTATCTTCAAAATTAATGGTGTCCCCTCCAACACAGATAACAATTTTTTTTTATTAGAAACAAATGATTGTTCTTCATTTTAATGGAAAAGAAGCAACAAATGACTTCTACTTAATATTGCTTTTATGTTTTAAATCACCTTTTGTTTTTCTTTATATGTAATTTCCTATTTTATTCTTGTAAACAATTGAAAAATGAGATATTTTATGCTCTTGCAAAAAACTAAGAAGATTAGGGTGTAAATCATTAAAAATGATAAGATAAGATGTAAGTCATAAAAGAAGGCATATATTAGGGGTGCAAATCACAAATTGCTCTATAATTTTTGTACAAATTAAATTTACAAGAAATTATGACACATTGATTATAAAATATTGTGAAAGGTATAGAAATGTATATGCATCAAAGGTTCCACTGTGAAAGGTATAGAAATGTATATGCATCAAAGGTTCCACTGTGAAAGGTATAGAAATGTATATGCATCAAAGGTTCCACTGTGAAAGGTATAGAAATGTATATGCATCAAAGGTTCCACTGTGAAAGGTATAGAAATGTATATGCATCAAAGGTTCCACTGTGAAAGGTATAGAAATGTATATGCATCAAAGGTTCCACTGTGAAAGGTATAGAAATGTATATGCATCAAAGGTTCCACTGTGAAAGGTATAGAAATGTATATGCATCAAAGGTTCCACTGTGAAAGGTATAGAAATGTATATGCATCAAAGG